AAGAATTATTCTGTGTTTTCCTTACTGACTTGCAGGGATCTGGTTTTGGCTCACTACTGTTCAGTGTATGATCAATAATCTAGAAAAGCTTCAGCAGTCATCCCTGTCAAAACCTTAATGGGAAAAAACCCCTTCGATGACAGTAATGGGAACAGGCTGCTGCCCTGGGCTGCTTGCCTACGCTGGCTTTTATCAAACCGTGTTGCAAAGCCAGCTACGAGGGTGATGCAAGGAATGCTCAGATTTGATTCACAAGATTAAAATCCAGATGCTAGAAGTGAGTGAATCCCAAAAAGGCCCTGGTAGACAGTGAAACAGGAATACTAGGGCAGGATATAAAGCTTCTTCTCTATGTATACGATGTTAGTAAGGTAATTACTGTAAGGGTATGCTCTGTTCTGGCAACTACTCTTCAAAAAAAAGAACATTCAGAAAAATCAGAAAATATTTAAAAAGCCAACCATAAAAACTAGAGGGATGAAGGAAAAAAAAAAAATCAAGAAGTTCAATCCATTCATATACAGTAAGATTGAAAGGTATTTCGATCATGGTATGTCAAACCCCTGGATCAGGGCATCTTCAGTAACAGAACATCCTCCAAGAGAGATATACTGAAACCCAGTGGTTGGGAGTCAAAGCAAGATGAACTCAAACACAGGGTTGGGTGTTTTGTTGTTGGGATTTTTTTTTGAGGATAGTAGTTGCTCAAGTAACTTACCTACAGAGGCGACTCGTTCTTTTAGCAAGAATCCTTTTTCAATAAAATAGATGCTTAACTTCTGACATTATGCTTCGGATGTTGAAATCGGCCGGTGAAGTTTTATAATTGTGATATCCAGAAAAGCCGTCAGATAGGAGTTCCCTCTACCTTTACCAATGAATGGACAGTTGAGCCTCTAACAGCCCTTACCACTGAAACCTTTGTTTCAGTTGCTGATTTGCCTTCTAATTCTGGCTGCCTTTAGTCAAACAGAGGTAGCACCCACTGTTTATAAAGCAGCAGCGGGTGCAACCCTCTCTCCAAGCAGACAAACTTGGCTCTGTGGGCAAACTTCTGCCCACTAATATCAACAAGTTGGCACAAACTAAAAACCCAGGAAAGCAGGAAGAACTGGGAGACCCATACTGCAGCCCAATTCCCCACTAGAGAAAAGAATTCTGTGTCCAGAGGCACAGGCAAAAAGGGAATGGGATGAGTAAATCAGCTGGATCTGGGGAACTCAATGCAGCTGTTAACTGGAATCTTCAAACAGAACCAAAAGGTGCATATAAGAGGGAGAGAATATGGCTTTCAATTCTTTCATATAAGCAATGGCTACATTAACAGAGACAAAGTCTTGAGAGAGTTGTTAATGAAATACTAATGGTGGATGAAAAGCCAGAGCGAAAAAAGGCCCCCGGTGGAAACCGGCCCCGGTTGCAGAGCGAGCGCAAACCACAGTGGCTTCCCCAAAGCTGTTGTGGTGACCTGGTGTTTAAAGCACTCGGATGCTGCTGGTGGAATGAATCTCGGCAGTGGATTCGTCATGGAGAAGATTCAAGCTGAAGAAATGATTCTTGCAAGAGGTACAACCCTACAGATTAAGGCAGGAGACATTCAAAATCTTACGTAAAGCACACAGAAAATCTGAACGGTAACATGCTTCAGAAGACTTGATTAGAAAAAGTAACAGGCATTTACCTCAAAAATACACGCACAGACAATCACCTTTGTGTCAGCCATCAGTCATTTGACACTAAGTGTCACTAAATCTGTTTTCTGAGAAAACTTCGCAATATATTGTACAGGCTCACAATTCTCCATTTAGCACCAATAAAGCCAGAGATTCTGCAAGAAGGATCAGGTGAAGACTCCGGAAGAATGCACTTAATTCAACCACATGGAAGAGGAAAAGGACACCATTTTTTATATATTGTCTATTTTTATTTCTAAACAAAAGGCCTGCTGTTGTAGTCCGTGCACAGGGAGAATTCTTTTAGCATTTAAAAAAAAAAGTGCCTCTGTCAGGACACCAGGGCAAAACTGAAGAAGTGGTCAGATATTTTATTATAATAAATCTTCAATATTGAACTAGCAACTGATAAAACGAACCCCAGACTAATTTCTCTAGTATGAGGAACCTTTTTTAAAACCTCAAAATTCAGTGCAAGCTCAGAGCACTTATTTTACAAGTAGAGCATCTTACACATTCGTGAAAAGCTGCTCGTTACAGTAACTCCAAGGCTTCGCTAATCAAGCCTCACAACTAAAAAGAAAGCTAAATGTGAATGGAAAAGAGCACACACATTTACCATGAACACACAGAGGATGAAAACTCAGACGTTTGTGCGTAGAGTGCTTGCCAAATAACTCCGCTTGCTGCTTTAGTATCAAAGCACTGAAGAACAGCAGCTTCCCAGTTATCCAATCCTTCTCCAGGGATTCTCACAACAAGAGCGAGCTGCGCATTTTAGCTCATTCCTGATCATTCTGAACATGCAAACGTCAAGAACTCCTGGGAAAAGCACTGTGTTAGGGAACCACAGGTACACTTGTAAGCGCAAACCCCCATGCAATGAGTACTATGCACCTGTGTGTATACTATAAATATGCTCACATGCACATATTTAAATTAGAAATCTTTCTCCTTTAATATAGCCATGTTGGGTCTCAAATTTCAGCTCTCTGATGCTCTAAAGATTTCCAAAACCACACCATTTGTCTTGAATACCGGACAAACTCGGGTCACAGGCAGCGCTGCTCAGCAGAGGCACCGACTGGCAGTGCAGACCCACCCTGAGGACGGTCTCGGGGAGCTCGGCACCTTCTCCGCTGCCAGCCAGGAGGGACCACTGCTCAACTCCACCTCCTCGCACCGTATCTACGTGCTACCAGCAGGGAGGAGGGAACAGAATCCACTGGAAAAGAAGCAATAGCTGAAAGAGGGACAAACAGGGAGTTCAAGACGCCAAAGAAGAGAGGAGGCAGCATCAGGCTCCCTTTCCCTAGACGTGCCTTCCACTGTCGCCCCACTATCTGCTCCTGCAGTCTCACAAGCCCTGCCACAGGCACGATCCACCCTTCAGCTGTAAAGACTTTTTTCTTCCCCCATGGCAACATGCTCCCAAACCCTCCATGGCTCTGTCCTCCCCCCTTTTCTTTCTGAAAACCACAGACAGGAGAGAGATCAGCTAGACAAAAGCTTAAACCAGTGCAAACGTGAAATACAAGGTAAAAAAATAAAAAGAAAGTCTTTTGCTACTCCTGGACATGCTGCAGACACTGTGCCTCATAACTGTGGCAATATCTAGTGCCAAAGAAACTGAGCACGTACCTTTTGTTTTCAAATGACATTCAACTCAAACATGCATAGGGAGAGTAAAGTTATTTTATTAAATCATGCACATCACGTGTGTTAGTGCAAATAGTTTAATCTGTACTCCAGAAATTCTATTGTATTTTTATATCTTTACAAAATAGATTTAAAACAATTATTTACTTTAAAAAATGTAATTCTGAAGTTAAGCATTTCAGAACAATATTTGCAATAACCTATATACAAGAGGTACTAAGTACCACTGGCATACGAGTGTTCTGTGGTTGGGTGGCTTCCTGCAACTGAAAAGGATGAAATGAATGAATGACAATATGTATTTTCTACAAGTCACTTGCGGACTATTTTTTTCAACTAATAATCCTCCCATTAGCAAATCCCATGTAACTTAAGATAGAACCTTTAATTAAAGGACAATGACCCTTAAAACCTCACAAAATAAGCTAAATTTCTATTTAAATATTTAAACTATCTGTCGATTGCCACAACATTCTTTAAAGCCAATTGGATTGCTGAGATTATCTCCCTATTTTGAAGTTTCCTTTAGCAGAGCCATTTTACTTTACCATTCTTCAGCGTATTATTTATGTCTTTAATAAACTTTTTTGACAGAACTGTTGAGCTGAACAAGACAACTACAGTCTACATTTAATTCAGCACTAACTACAGTGATTCCCACCAAAAGTCAGCAAATAGCAATAGTTATAGTACTTATCTAAGGAAAATAAACTTTGTAATGGGGACCACTGCATCATACTTACAGCCATGTGACGAGGATGCACAAAATTTTACTACCAAATTAAAATCATCTTGACCTGACAAGATTTCATCAGGCACATGACTCCAATGTTGTAGTATTTTATGTATCTTAGATTTTTTTCAGCTAATCACAGACATACTGTAGCAGTTCTCTTAATAAAGTTACGTCAACAAAAGCTTATCTAAAGAGCTTCTCCAGCTCAAGTCAGAAAGTATCAAATGACTGAAAAAATAAATTGATACATGTGATATGTGAGAAGTATTCATACTTTTAAAGAACGCATCTCTTTAAATATATGAAATTTAATAAATTACATTCAAACTAAAGTTAACGTAAGTTGAATCACTGCACTATGTCCATCAAATGACCAAGTACTTGCTCCCAGAAATACCTTAGTTCACTCAAGAACACACACATGCTTACACTCACACACGCGCACACTAAATACTCTAGGCTGGTCTTCACCATCAATATCTCTATCTCTTTAAGGCTGGATATGAATTGTGTTTATTCCCAAAGATCATTAATAAAGCAATCCTTATCAAATAAAAATATGCTTCCTTCAAAAGGCGTGATAAGAGAAGTTTTCTTAAGCCTTGTTCCCAACAGCTCAGTGACTAACAGCGAGGAAAATGACATACTAGTTAAAAAAAAGTCGTACTGAAAGGCACTGAGCAAACTGCATCTGTTTTCCAAGTATCTGCAAAGTTACTTGGCTCGGGTGTCCAAATCGGAAATGTGTTTTTTCTTTTAAATCTGGCAATCAAATTCTAAAATAAGCATCCTCAACCCTAGCCATTATAAATAATTTGGTACCAAGAAGCCTACTTTAGGCCACCATTATAGTATTCAGAATCCCAACATACTAATTTAAAACTTGCATGAAATTGTAAGCAAAAATATTGCTCACAGTATGATGAATCACAATTTTATTCCCTCTTTATAGACAGATACATTTTATACAGTTTAAAGCAAATGACCCTACTGCTGTTCTCACGCAGAGCTGTGCTGTATTAAGAGGTAAAAAGGAGAGACTTAATCTGTTTTCCCTCAGTATATGAATGTTGCCAGCTTCTAAAGGGAGGACGGTGTATGGATTCAACAACAGTTCTCATGGAGAAGCTCTGGTTAGGCCTGGGTACAGCACCACGGCTGTTACAGCAACCAAAGCTGCCATCACAGGCATCCAAGGCCATTGTCTCTGTGTGGAGAGAAAAAAAAAATCAATATCATATTTGTTCTAATTCATACTAATCAGTTTACCCGTGGTTCCTGCAAGTCCTGAGTACCTGCTGATAGCCATCACTAAACGTTACCCACGAGCCCTCCTGCAGGCTAGTCCTGACTTAGAGCATCCCAGTAAACCGTGTTTCTCTAGTGAGGGAACTCCACAACTCTTCACGACTGGGGATCATCGGGAGAACGTCCGGCAGTTCCGTACTTGCGGCTTTGTTACCGCACGCACCTCAAAGAAATCGGCTTTTAAACTTGTGAGGGCTTAAGATGTTTGAAACATGGCTCGTGCCAAGCAACCGCTGGGCACAAGTTTATGCAGTACTGACATCTGCAGCTTCGCTTTTCAACGTTTACATCCAGGTCTGTGACATCAGTTTGTAGCAGATCCTAACAACATCATTTCTAACGGACTGTCACAACATATCATGACAACATTAGCATTTTAAGAGGAGGACACACTGAGAGATGTTAGAGAAGATGCAAGCTGAGAGTTCAGAATACAAACCAATCACCTATTTCTCATCTTGTCTTTTTTTCCCCATCATCTTCATAGCAATAGTGAGAAAAATTATAGTGTTTAGAGGCAGAGAGGAATTTCTTAGTCCATACATAGGAACCAAAGCTTTTTGGGTTTTATTATTAGAGGCAAACTCTTCATTTTTTCATAGTTAATTAAGCAATTAAGTTTTCTTACAGGCCCTAGCATGGCAGCATTGTGCAAAAGGCAGCCCATTTGCTAAAGACAAACTGAGACCGAGTTAGAAGAGGCACGTTCAGACCCAGTTAGAACAAAATTCACTGTTAGAATTAAAGAAATCGCACAGATGTTAAACGATTAGTGGGTTGCTCAGCTCGTCAGTATTGACAGAATGGCGGATTAAATGAAGGGTTTGCTTCAGGTAAAGAAATACCTGTGAGCATTTCACCATGCACTATTTTATACAGAAATGGCACAAACAGGTGAGAGGGACAAACATACATCGACTGAACAGTAGTGCTTGTACCTTTCGCTACCACAATGGGCCGTAACACCAATACAGGAAAGCCAGGATTAGGCCGATGAATACGGCTGGGACGGGTTGTAATATGGAAGGCTAAAGAAGGGAAGGGATATTAAAAATCACTTTGTGCTATAAATCAATCAGGTAAAGATGATTTAGAGAGGGGAAAATAAGTCAGTGAGTTTTGTTTTAATTGAAATGTATTAAAGACATCTAACACAATACAGCATTATCTAATCTGGTATACAAAGTTAGTACACCATTCTACTCAAATGAAAAGAGGTGTTTAAAAATTAAGGGAAGCAAGCAGAAAATATTCTAAGAAACCTCTTGTCACAACTTGGAATTTAGCACTTAAAAACGATACAAATCTTAAACTGATTTGCCTCTATCTTATTTATAGTTGGTTTTAGTTTTTCCAAATGATAGGAAATCCCATCTGGATTTCTTAAGGCAGAAAGACTCGCACCAGATACTCAATTTTTCAGCTGCTTCTTCATTCCTTGCAATTCCCATTCCTTCCTTTCCCATTTTCCATCACCAGCCTCCAGAAAAAACAATCTTTTTCCTCCATCAGTGAATCAGTTACAACTATGTCCACAGGCAACCCCAGCAGTTCAGACACTTCCGTGAGATTGTAACATGACAGTACAATCAACGCCAAGTTACTGCAAAGAAGGGAAGTACACTCCTATCAGAGATACCAAAGATCAGCATCTCCGGCAGGTCACTGGCCCTGTGACCAACTGCAATTCTGAAAAATAGATCAAACATTGCATCAGGGCCAAACTACCAGCTGGCAAGATTGCAGGGTTCGTTTAGCTTATGGCCTCGTTAGAACGAGCTACACATTTTCTCAGCCTCATTCAATTAACTGTAAACTACTTCACATTCTGTATGGGCAGCCTCTATCCTTAATATGATAAATTAAAAGCAAAAATCGACCTAATTTTCTTTTTAAGGTGTCCTTGAAAGACATGTCTTGCCTTTGTATCCTGGCCGGTCTATTCGTGCACACACACAGACACACAGAGGTTAAATTCAAACCATGCCAAATATTTTCTTAAGAACTTTTTTGTGCTGAAGTCACCTTGATTTTGTTCAGTCAAATAAATAATAAAATCATGTTTGAAGACTTTCTAAAATATTGATTCATAAATAAAATCTCATCCTGTTATCAATTCGTAGAAGTCACTTAATCATAGAACCTCCAATATGGTTCAAAACACAGGAATCTTAGAAGGTATTCCAGTCTCTGCCATTCAATTAATATTTCTTTTCATCAAGGCAAATACATAATAGACAAATGATGTGTAATTAAAGTAATTTTCATGCAGGATTATTTTTGTGTCATTGGTGCCACAAATCAAAGTGCCACCTTCCCATGGAAAGCATTTTGGTAGAAATCATCACAGCAGTGTTCAAAAAAGTGCCAGAAGTTTAAGTCAACCAGAGCAGCTAATGTTCTCAAACCATTCACATCAACAAATCTATCATATAAAGCACATCAGGAAATAATCAGTGACTACAAGCATGCAAGCACAAGTAGTACACCACACTGCTAAGCGTTTCAGAACCTAACACTGTTGGGTTTTTTAAGTAAGACTGAAGTATAAAAACTTAATATTTAAATGATATTCCAAATGGAGTACAGAAACCTTGTCTTTTCTAACACTTAATAGTTTATGGAACAATTCTGTGGTTTTTGGTTGTTTGGTTTCTTGTTTGGTGGGGGTTTTTTTGGTTTGGGGTTTTTTTTTTGGTGGGCTTTGTTTTGGGTTTTTTTTGTTTGAAACTATACCCTTTTGTGGCTGTGGCATCTTGGCAAATTAAACAGTTGATAAATATCCACACATTAAATGAAATTGCCTCCAAGTGACTAAGTTTTCCCCTTCATAAACTTATCAGTATGTAACATAACACTTTTATAACATTTAACTAGGTCCTTCATCCAAAATGTTAATCTTGTATTAGAAGATGAAGATATGCAAACTCAGATACAGATGGGCTGTGAAAAAAGGAACAGATCCCACAGTGGGAAGTCACTTTGTGGGTCACTGTCCTCGGAAATGAAGTAACAGATAATGATTCCAGCATAAGGGGACAATGGTACTTGAAAAATTTGACCTTGGAACTCAGCCCAGTATGAACAATGCTTCAAATAACCCAGAAGACCGATGTTTTACATTACTGATTGCGTGCAGTGCTTGCCTGAACAGCATGCTTGTCCTGCGAGTCCTTATATGGCTGGATGCTCTTCACCATACCCTGACCTCTAGTTTTCAACTGCCACAACTAACTCCTACTCTGGAAGCAGATTTTGGCAACTGCTGTGGTTCCTGATTTGATTTAAATACTCACCTCAAATTGGTCCTAAAATTTCCCTTACCTTGCAAGCTTTTCCACTTTCATCAGGTGCTCCAATTCCCTTCTCAGTATTTCTTCCCTCTACTACCCCCTTTTTTCCACTGATCATTTTAATGAGGTTAATGTTTTTAACAGAGCGGAAAATATCACATTCACATTTTTTTGTTCAGTGTGATCTCTTCTCTTAGAATAGGGTTTTTTTGATTGTTATTTCTGACTTCTGTCTACTTTAGCACCTCAGGATTATCTGAGCACTGCAGAAGAATTCTAAGCAGGAAGCAGGTTCCACTGAAAGAGGTGAGAAGGGCTTTGAATTCTTTGCATCTTTGACAGCTCTACCACGTTAGAGGTTTACATTCAGTAATTGGCTATGGCAAGACTTTGGCCATCTAGCAGCCAGCTGATTTTGGAGAAGAGAACTTACTTCACAGTCACAGAAACAGTTTTCTACAAGGCTATTACAGACCATCCATTATCCTCCTGTCCACTAGAGGAGTGGTTCACCCTGCACTGCTCAGAGGGGCAGTACAGGAAGACAAACCAGCCATCCCAGGGCAGTAAGGTACCTAAAATAAGGCTATGGCCACCTTATAACGTGTCTGCCATACCCTTAGCACTGGGAGAATTTCAGAAGTCTCAGTATTAAAAGAAGTTGTCCCTAGCTGTAAACTCAACTGTAAAGACAAAGTCTCAACTTAATAGCATTAGAAAAGAGTATTTTCATTAGTGAATAGAAAGGACAGTCCAACAGCATTGTTTAAGCCTGAGCCAATCAGGGATAACACCACTGTTAAGAAGCATGAGAAAGGGTAAGGAGGGAACATTTGTTGTAGTAAACACCATTAAAATAAAAGCATCTTGAAAAAGATTGCTTAATTAATTTGGATACAGGTTTCTTAGCTTTTACCCATGTATCATTCTCTGGAACTAAAAAGCTTTACTTAGTGCTGGTTCACCACTATTTAGGCCAGATGTTTTCAAGAGAGCAGGTATCTAAGGCTGTATTTAAAACTATCACAAGGCTGTAAATTTAACTTGCACTGTTAATTGTAACAGTGTAATGACCTGCACATGTGCACAGGCAGTACCAGAATGGAATATTATAATACGGTACCCAGCTTTTTTTCCCCCCCAAAGTCCGTTCTTATCTATTTGACACTTAAATATTCCCTCAATCGACAATCACCAGTGTCATAACCAGACTTCCCCACATACATTGTACAGACTTACATTGTTTCCTTTTTCTTGTAGCAGCTTCAGGTTTTCTTTACATTGTTTGAGCTCTTCTGCGAGTGACTGGTTTTCTTGTTCAGCCACCTCATACTTCGCCTTCAGCTCTGAGAGCACAGTCTGTGTTCTTTCATACTGAAGGCAAAGAGAAAACAGTCTGCGGACCCCTGCACACCCAACACGTGCTACACTTGCTTAGCCCACAGCTTCGTTTGCTGTCATCTGCCTAGAGTGACTCGCCTGGGATCAGAACACTCTCTGCATAAAAGCAGGATAGAAATATCTTAGTGTAGATTTGCTTTTTTTTCTAAATGAAGATTTCTGTCTTTGACTTGGAAAAGCTAGGATTACTAAAACTAAGTAAATATGAAGAAAATGCCTTAATTCATCTCTTATATAAAACAATTACTCATTATCATACTGGAAAGGACTGTGAAAACTATGATAAAACAAGTAACAGGGAAACAAGGAGTGCTTTACACTGAAACAATAGTCTTAGATTTAGCCTGTAAATTAAATACCTACACCAATCAAATAGGTGCAAAACCCAACATTCTGTATGAAGTAAACCAAACCTTCTTCCTGCACAGCAAAGTCAGGAGTAAGAAAGGCATTAAAAAAATATTCTGCCTCATTACTATCGTGCCCTAATCGTCAGCGTGGGTCAAGTACGAATAATACTGGGTGAATGTCTCATGTTTCTACAGTATGGGCAGCTTCTTTTTCAAACCGACGTTCGATTTTTTCTACAGATCACACACTTGCTAGTAGACCTCATGACAGGGATTAGTAAGAACAGAACTAATGACTTTCAGTACTGGCATTTACAACAAATTTAAAAGATTTGACGTCTTTACAAATACATCTGATTACAAACCCACTGGCTAACAAGACTGGGTTTTTCAAATTCTGAAAATGGGAAGGATGTGACATGGATGAATTAATGACAAAGCAAAGGACTGCAAAAGAAAGTAAAAGCAGTGACTGAGAAAAACTTCACCCAAAATGCTCATAAGAGAAACCAAGTAATTGTTGGAGGCTATGGTCTTCTTCCAGACATAGTCTTTAGAGGCCAGGCAGGTGAAATACATGCTCAAAATGCTAGCTTTTCCTTAGGCACTTGCTAATCATCTTTAGCAGCCTAGTGATCCAGTAAGGTCAAAGGAGACCTTTGTAAATAACGTGTAGTCCCACTGTCAAATAAAAGAGTTTAAATCTAACTAGGAAGATCATACTGACTAAAAATAACTAATTTTGACTCCTGACAGGTAATGAAACTCTGTACCACAACGTTCAGGAAGACTCTTAGGTTTTACCTGTCTGAACAGCTTATAAGTAAATGCACTAAGGTAATACACAAAAAGTAACCTTTAGGAAGCTCCCAAGATATATGCATCACTTTATTAAAAAAAAAATCTTCCTTTTTAGATTTAATCCCCAGTATATATATTGTTAGCTACCATAAAAGCACTTGCAATAGAAGTATAAAAAGTTTTCATTACTTGAAATCTTATATTTTTGCTTTTCTTTTAGCTTAAAAGTCAAAGTCACTGGGCATCAGATTCTCCCAAAACAGAAGTAATGCTTCGTGTTACCTCTTTCTGAACATCTTTTGCTTGACTCTCAGCTTCGCTGAGTTGGCTTTTTAGACTAGCTGCATCCCGTTGATGTTTTTCTCTCAAAGTTCCCATCTGACTTTCAAGTTCCTTTCGAGACATTTCAAGAACACTTATATCGCTGGTTAGTGCTAAACTCTGTTTCTGAGAGCTGAAAAACAAAATCCAATTGATTCCTCATGTATTTTAAATTTTAAATTTAAACAATTAAGTTGGTTTTTTTTTAAAGTACTTTTCGTTATCCAAAGCTTCACACATTATTTTCATCTAATACAGAAATACCAGCTTAGAGCAATCACAGAAGCGCAGATCATCATCGTCTCCCTACACAAAGCACTGACACAAAAGGCTGGCCACAGTCTTGGTTTTAAATACATGTGCACAGCTGAGTGTGTATGATGAGTTACAACCTATAATTTAAATAATTTATCATTCATAATTTCCAGTTTATTATTTTACTTGTTATTCACTAAATATTTATTATATACTCCAAAGTGTTTTGAAACAAATTTCTAACGAAAAGTCTATCCAAGGCTGTTAGAAGCAACTCACTTATTTGCACACACACTTCTTGGCTTACTCCAGCTGCACGAGCTAATAGCTAGTATATTCTTCAAGTATTTAGTACAATTGTTTAGCAGTCACATAATGGCTTCATTTAGAACTTTACAAACTTCAGTGTAATAATCAAATAGTGTCAATTTGTGCCTGTGCAAAGAGAATAGAAATATTCTCTTTGAAAGAGAGAAAGAAAAATAAGAACGAGATCTTGCGTATCTCCATTATGCAAATTCTGCTACCTGCTTGTCACTGTCCCATACTTACTTTGGGACTTAAATTCCAGTATCTGAAACTAAAAGCATAATAATGGCAGAGGAGGGGATAGAGAAGTTACTTCCAGGCAGATTTAGATAGCCTTTAGCAATGTCATGTGCTCAAACAGCAGAAGTAGGGCAGTAAAACACAAATACTCCTGCACTCTAAAATCCCCCCCAAAGATATTATGGTGCTTGTGATAAAAAGATTTGTATTTTTCTGTTAGGCAAAACACAATACAGAATACTGGTTTTTCCCATCACTGCTACTTATAATGTGACAGGCTTCCATGAGACGTGACACTGAGAATCATTTTCCAACCCTGAATGCTGAAAAGCTCTTAAGTTAGGAAATCTATGTGGTTAATTATCTCTTAAGTGGACGGATAACAGTTATGTCTAAATGTTTCCAACATTGCATGCTTCCAGGTCCTTATTAAAAGCAGCAAAATGAGTCAGGTTACCTTACGACAACAAGACAACTGATAAGCAATACAGAAGCTTTTGCAAAACAGAAAAAAGTAGCTTAGTATAACAATCTGTCATGAGACTGTGTTCTGCCCAATTCTGTGATACAAATAAAATTTCAATACGTGTATTGAAACACCATCAGATAAATCCATTGTGCTCTTACCTAGAAAGCTCCTTCTCTTGTCGCTGAAGTTCAGATGTAAGCAAAGTATTTTCCTTCCTTAGTGTAGCACATTCAGCTTCCAGAGCACTCCACTCTGCCTTCAACTTTTCAAGTTCACCTGCAATGCATAAAATTTAATTGAACTGAGTAAAATTATTTCATGACTGCTTCAAGTATCACCACCTAATAAATGGAGGAAAAGGTGATATCAATTGTGAACTTCAAATATACTTGATTATAATCATGTCACACGAATTCTTACACAAGCACCTATAAAACATTAAAATATCTTCTACTGTTATGAGGTTTGTGAGACATTAAACAAGCTAGTGCTTTTTAAGCAAGCTTTTTCTAAGGTACAAGGAATCAGAAAAAGTCTGTTTATGGGTCTCCTCTAGTATTTTAGAAACTGTGATAGAAAAGTATTCGAAGGAAATAAATCCCCAGACTTGAAAATAGCAAACAACTAGAATCACTAGTTGCCAGGCCTCTGCTACAAGGAGTAGAATGTTTAAAGCAATAACTAAAAGGTAAAAATGAAACCTTTGAAATAAATCAGTCCCTGGTAAAATAGATAAAAGTCAATGCTATAGGTATCTTAGTAATACAATTACAGACACTGGAGTCTGAACAGGAAAAAGGCTTCTTGACAGCTTCAAAGACTTACTGATTCAGAACTTAAAGCATACTTCACATTTGCCAGTTTTTGTGGCATGTCTGAAGTTTCAGTGTGAGCTCTGGAACTCTAGTAGCAGATTCTCTAAGACCTGAAGCTACAGCCCCAGAGCAGTGGCTCTCAACCACTCCTCATGAGATAGGGGTGCATTACAGGTACAGTGGAAGTCAAAGGAATGAGCCTAAAAGTAACCCTATCCGGGTCTAGCACAACGTATTTGTCTATGTCCACATCATGTGTCCAGAATAGAGCTTTAATTTTAAATTTAACATTTTAGTGTTAATAAGGAGATTGTATCTACAGTTTTAGTAAGTCATAAAAATAGTTCTTTGTCTCGAGTGAAACTTTGCTAGAAAAATTAAAAAGGTCAGAAGCTACCCATTTACGGGCTTAAAATCACACAGAAGTTACACAAGCCCTTTGGAATCTGTGGCAGTATCAATCCCCTGAGCGGTACAAGTTTTCCATCTTTGTGGAAATTATACTTGGTCTACTTTCGATATCAGGGGGAACCTAAACTAATTTAGGCATAACTGACAATTACTATTTAATGAAGTACACAGAACAGCTTTTGGAACACTACACATCTTGATACACACAAATACACCCATGCATGTGTATAGCCACAGTAAATGACTACAGAGAGACAGACAGTGATCTGAATAACTGACACTGATCAGACCGAGCAGGATGCTGATCTTACCACTGGGCCTGTGGCATCCTTCTGAACAAGTACCTTTTAGGCGAGTAGCCTCTTCCTTCTGCTGATCCTCACACTGTTGGCATCTGAGCTGAAAACTGGCTTGCAGACTGACAATTTCTTTTTCATAATCTGAAGCATCCTTCCGCCACCGTTCAAGTTCCGCCCGCACTGTTTGCAACTCATCTTGCAATGCAGAAATATCTGTATCCCGCTCTGATGCTGTCTTTTCTGCTACTTGCTGAAGTGACAGAATCTCGTTTTGAGCACTGACTAGTTCATTTCGAGTGCTTGAAATTTCATTCTCCTTTTCCTCACGAAGATTCTCAATATCTTCTTGTAATCTTTGCAACTGAGCTGGAAAGCAGACATTAATGTTAATATTTTTAAAAACTGCATTTATGGAAAAAACTAAAAAATGTAACTCACTTTCTCAACGTGTTGACACTTGATAGGATTAAAGAACCGTAATGCAATTGAAAAAGATCTTACTCTTGCCAAATGCTGTGCCCTTAAAGAGACACCTATGCATGGTCATGTAGAGTCAAAAGAAACAAGAATTATGGCTGAACAAAACTTCCTCAGACAGGGTGGTGTTATGTGTGTGATACTAAAGCAACTCTCAAAATCTGAAACCAGGATTTAGATCCAACTTCACTGTAAGCAAAACAAGTATTATAGAGCAAGGACACTGCCAGGTTTGGGGACAAGAGGACAAGCAAGAAAGCTGCTGCGACAAGCCAAATGGTTACAGAACTACATTGGAAATGTTTGCCTGTTCAGCAGTTAACTTGTGATGCCTATAAATATTTGAGGCACAAAGTCTAATTTCTACTCCAGTCTCAACAGATAGGAAAGGAAATAAGAATTACTTCACTTCTTTGCACACAACATTTTTCAAAGCACAAGACTAATTTTGAATTGAAAGTGACAGCTGCACCAAATATGCCAAACTAAGTCATCCTTTAGCATTTACAGTGTACTGTACATGTGCAGCAGTCACACACATGCTCGGTTATTTCACGTTTCATGATGCAATCCTTATAAAATATTCCCATTCAACTGTTTCATTACTAAACACATCTCTGAGCACTATTTTTTTTTTGTAAGCACACTTACAAACAGAATTCAGTGCAAACAGTTGGGGAAAAAAAAAGAAGAGTGCAGTACAGAAGAAAGAAGTATGAAAGAACAAAATCCCAGTTAAAACCCTAACTGATGAGAACGAAGTGTTTAATTTGCTCAGTATTTTTGTTTTGCTTTTTAAAGAACACATAACAGTTCACATGTATTTCACTGATTTTTAACAGGGGAAAAAACAGTTACTGATTAAAGACTTGCTACTGAGAAATGCCGCTACTGAGAAATGCCACTACTAAGACTTGCTCTGAGAGAAGTGCAAAGTTCTGAAGATGACTTAAAAACCTAAAATAAGATACTGTAGCTGGTCAGAATTACACATTTTAAGTTATATGTTTCAGAAGCAAAGGCCAAAAAAGGACAGTGAAAAACATGAGGAAGTAACCTTCATAAATCTCCTGTATTTATTTTTGCTCCCTTGATCGATTACAGATGATGACCCGGAGAATGTGAGCGTGTCGTGCCATAAACTGATAGAGCATTAAAACTACTCCAGAGAGACCTGCACTTTCATGACAGCTATACCTGATGTTTCTCAGTAGCTGCATATACAGTAATCTTGATATTATAATATTGATACCATCTAGAAACTCTGCTGTTAATGTACAAGCGAAGAATTAAAATGCAACTTCTTTTCCTCCCCTTCTCTAAAAAGAGTCCAGCAAGACATTTAGCTTATTAGATAAACTAAAGGGCCTATGCATTACCCAATTCCACATTCTGGAGGAAAAAGACAGAATGGGAAAAACCATGACAGTTGTTATATACTGTAATACAGAGGAGTTACTGTAGACAATGGTAAGTTACATTTCACAGCAATTCTGTGTAAGATGACACAGTTGATCTGTTCTGTAACAAAGACCCTTGAAGCATCATAGATTTTTAAATATATGTGAGCAACACGAGGCTTGTTACCATCTCATTTGTTCAGAAATAGCATCTACAGACTTATACCAACAGAATAGCCAAGTAGTACATGCGAACAACCCGAGTAATACAACACATCACAATGAACAGTTGCCTTCCCATGTATCCTTACGTTAGAAGCCCTGACCTTACCAAAGCAATAATGCTAGGAAACCACGTTTCCAAAACACCAAGAATTATGACTTGCTAACACAGCAGGTGCCCATTAAGGAGCAAAGGAGTGACTTTTTCAAACCACATCATCCCAATATTATTTTCTTCATCAAGCCAAGCTAAATTCCTGCTTCTCAGTAATGGCAGTATTTCAAAGAAATTTGTCTTTTTCGTTCTGTCTTCGTTGTTGATGAACATCCCTCTCTTTATATGATCGTGTGAAAACAAGCATGGTATGACTGAAAATCCCAACACATGCAAGTGTTTCTGAAGTTTGGTGCAGTTATAGAAATGACTTACACAGACAAACTACTACCAAGAATATTGGAACGGTTTCCAAAGCATTCCAGTGCATCAGAATTCAGGGCAATGAGAAAGAAAACTTCCATTACATCTCCTTTATGTAAGCCATTACCTCATGTAAATTGAACGCTTTTTTGTTTTTAAATAAGTAATAGCAAGTTAGGTGAATTTCCTTGCTTGACCTATCTGTTCATCTAGAGAACTTCACATGTAGAGACAGGATCTCGGTTGTTTCTGTGGCACGTTCTCTTTGCTATGACAAACAAAGCCATGTAGCACTGGCTGGCCTAAACCACGGATTCCACAAAAATACTTCAAGAAATGTTACTGCATGAAGTTGCCAGGATTTTCAGAAAAGTTTGGGAAGCAGCAAGCATACAACTAACATTGGAATGATTTTAAAGGCTACACAGCTTCTTGACCAGTGAGCTCACTCACGTGCACAGGCTGAGAGGTTAACATGACACAGAACATGTGACAAGTTATGTAAATCATGAGATTCCATTCTGCTATCATTATTTGGGCTGAAGAGAATATGATTGGTCATACCATTTTTTTTTTTAGTTTTTTTTTTTTTTTTCCAAAAAGCATAGCCATTGTCACTATTGCAGAAATTTTACTGCATGCAGATGTGGAATGATTGAACATTTATTTAAGAGGATTCTAGTAATGAAGTAAAGAGACTAAGCAGCACAAAAAAGACTAAACCTTCTGAATGCTCTGCTGATAAAACAGTCACAGTAAGAATCCCTGGATCATTCAAAGCTGAGAAAGACTGGAGAGAGAGGAAGGAGAAGAGGCATCTATTACTGGTTATGTCTTCTGTTATTTTCTAAATTATGGTTAGAACTGTAGGAATTGACAGGAAACATTTCACAGAAATTCAAAAATATGGTGAAAGAAATCAGAATTAAAGTACACACTCAATTAACATTTTCCTTTTATTAGTGCTTGCAATGCCACGGAAACAGCCAAAGCTCTAGATTTCCCCTAAAAGCATGGGGTGAAAAAACAACTTCCTACCTTGCAGAACATTTATTTGCTTGTTAGATTCTTCAACTTGCACCCGATATGCTTTTCTCTCCTCTTCCAACAGCGCTATAAAGTGAAAACGTGCCCAAAAGTTTGTTAGTAGAAATATTTCAGCTGTGTAATTAATTGTAGTCATAACTTCCCCTTAACTGAAAAGATTAAAACAATCATTATTTCAGTAAGTTACCAAAGCTAGTAACTGTGTAAGTAGTTTAATAAAAAGTTAATATTAATGTGGTAGTATTACAATTAATTTGAAATTATTAATACAGTCTGTTGCCTGATCCAAAAATTTAGGTTTGCTAAATGCAAACTGTTGTGGGAGGAGAAAAAGAAGCTGTAAATATACCCCATAAAGAACACTGAACAACAAGCAATTAAACTGGACTATATTATTTCTTGTCAAAACCAACCCTCAGCTTTGTTGAGGGTAATGATACAGCTATACACCCGATGATCTAAAGAAAGAACTACCACTGAATACATGAATTTATGTGCATTATCTGACTGAGATTTAGACTGAGCAGTATCTGTAGATGAACATGTTTTATAAGGATGAAATATATGGAGTTCAAGTAAATATTCATTACCATTAAAAGATGTTGGTTTATCTGAATCAAAGTGAATTCAGACTGTACAAATAGTTTAGAAAAACAGCAAAAGTTTTTGCCATTCTGTGCAGGAGATGTGAATGCTATGAACCACACTTAACTAACAGACAGGCAGCAAAACTGGACCTCCTTTTAAGACCACCTGATAAATACGATCTCAACGGATGCCCTACCCACCCAAGTTGATCTGGGTCTCACCTTGAAGTTCAAAGCATTTTTGTTTACTTGTCCTAGCTAGCTCTTGGGCTTCAATCAGCTCCTTGTGCAGTTGCTGAATTTCTTGCTTAGCCTCAGTCTCTGACTGTGCACCCTGCAATTCATCTGATAAAAGAACATTTTCTTTAAATCATAAATTTGTACAACAGTTTAAATGGCACTGTCATGTGATGACTGGCGACTTTGTATTCAAATCATCCATAGTTAGTTAAAGTAAACTCAAAACTGGATTAGGTAAATATTAGCAAATATATTAATGTATTTTTTAAAGGAGGAAAACATATGCAAACTTTAAAACATTCATTATATACAACATGCATTATAAAACAACAGAAAAACCCAAACAAGAAATAGAGTTTTTCAAAACATTGTATATATAGGCAAGGATTCCTGGATTGACAAAAATGAAGCAACAACGACCTTAAGACAATCCTTGGCTGTGTTTACAAGCTGTCTGTTTATAGAAGGAAGCTACTCTAACCCCCTCTCCTAGCCCAAGTTCAGTAGCAGCATCCTTTGTCCCCTGCCTCCCAAGCCCACCCACCCACAGCCCTGTTCCCAGCAGCACGCACCAGCCCTGGCAGGCAGCCCACCAGCACAGGCACTAGTACCAGCACCCAGCCGTGTACTGGTGCTAGGTAATGCCAGTCAACTGCAAGAGATTATGTAGAGTTTCTATTAGGTGGGTAGCTACTGCCACAATAGCTTGCTACCACGCAAGACTTGGCTTCCCCCTTTCCCTCAGTGGGCCATAACTGCAAGGAAAGGGAAAAAAACCACCCCACAAACCACCAGGGAAATTTTGTAAAACAAAATTAAGAAAATGAAGAAAAGCCCACCTCCCTTATTGCACTCACTGGCCTAGTGAATATGAAGCTAAATTTTGCCCTTAAGTTTTTTTCATCATGTCTTAAAATATTTGGTAGATCTTAAACACACTCCGATATCTATGTGTGTTACTTAAACTCTACATACAAACACTTGCTCTTCCCCACAAGTTTTGCATTAACTAAAATGCCTATTAAATACCTCTTGGGCTTGTAAGAAATGACTTGTGGTCACAGATAAATGAAATATTTTTAAAGCTGAAGTTTTGGGGGAATTTAAAAGAGGAAAAATAAGTATTTGTAACTAATATCAGTGTCCTCTAATGGGCACATACTGGAAACCAGATGCAGTAACAAGAGAGGAAGCCAATGCTCTAGCCTGCAGGCATCTGCAATGCCAGGAATTGGATCCAGGAAACCCTCATTTCACTACGTTTTCCTTAAGCGGTCTCTGTGCGGAAACAGATCTTTCAGTAGTGCACAAACAGCACACAAACTACATAGGTAGAGGGCTAAAACTTCATATAAAGCCACTTGGGTGAGAAAGGCGAGGGAGGGAAATCAGTGCAAAAAGGGCATCGAGGGAGAACAAAAAGGTAGATGTCTTACACAGCTAACTGGTCAATAAACATCCACCCCTACAGACCACAGGGATTTAAGATAAAGGCACACTGCTTATAATAAAACCCCCCCAAAAGATAAATTACTTGGGTTGTCTGCACCTTTCATGAGTAAGTAAAAAATAAATACAAGCTGTATTCTAGCTCATCATTACACTTCTGACATTCATATTTGACTATGTCACCAATAAAGTACACACATTTTTTTGCTGTTGTCTTCATTAAAAAGAAAGGTTTATCAAATCATGCTGAAGTACTCATCCCTCTAAGAAAAGAGCTATTCTTGCCAAAATGAATTGGTGGGGACTGAGCAGAGCTGGGGGCACACACGTGCTTTTAGACTTCTCCAGAACAAAATTCTGAGAGCAGAAAGAACAAAGAGGATGGCATATTACATCCAAATGCTTTCTTTTATAGTTTATTAGAGTTCCAAATCCAAGTTTCTCTTTACTGAACATGTTTTGTTCTTAGCTTCTCATGGATAAAGACTTGGGGCAATTAGACTTTCAATCCTCCTTAATGAGACTGTTCAGAAGCAATGGATGAGGAAGCTGACAAATCATGCCTGATAAAGAAGCTGTGTCCCAAATCCAACAACAGACACCCTAAATGAACTTGCTGGTGGACACTATTTTCCAATCAATGGAGGCACACATCATAAAAAGTAACACTGCTTCAAAGGAGATGAGGAACGTAACTTACATATGGGACAACATAGTCATATATAAACGTAATTAGCAAAGGCACAATTCAGGTAAAATCTCTTTCCTACTCAAACACAACAGGGGAATTTCCATGTGCCTGACATGCTTCTAAATCAAAATCCAAGAAACCTAAGCCTGAGAAAATAACAGCTTTTCAGTCTTACCCAAACTGAAAATTTCTTTAATCTCTTTTAGTTCATAGCAAACATCATTTTTGTGCTAAGTAGTTTTGGGGAAAAAAAAAAAATCCTTGGTGAGTAGGATTGCTCTGTTTATAAATAATAATACTCTTAAATATCATCAGGCTTAGAATTAGTTCCCTTGAGCAAATGCACATCACAAAAAGCTGTTTTGAGAACCAATGTAAAAGGCTGCAATTAAAAAAAAGTATTTGAGCAATTTCCAGAAGGATTCAGCATTGGACTAACTGCTGTCAGCAGAGCCTAGGAAATTCCATCATTAATTACAACAAGGTGCCAAAAAAAGAAGTCAAATACAACAGTTTGGAAATCCTCACTCATTTATTCTAGCTCATGGAAAATTTTCACCTGTGATCATCCTGTTTGCCATGTTACAAAGATTCTTAAATAACACCACTTTGTTTCACACACAAAGTGAGGTTTCCCTTAACATCAACTCTACTGGTAGATTTAAAATTGTTTAAAAAAAAAAATCAGCGCAATCTCTACAAATCATTCCCAAAGCACATGAAAGTTACTTCCTCTTCACTCTGGCCCAAGAAAAGGAGTCTAAACCATGGGGCAGTTTCGGGGAAAAAAGACCATATCCAAATCATTAAAGAATATAATGCTGCGTAAAAGAATATTTTGCAATTTTAGGACCTATAAAATAAAGTTTCAGTAAAACCGATAGAAAAACAAAGCTCAGATTAAACTAGTATTTACAAATGTGAAGATATTAACAGAGCTCTGCTTATATGTTTGCCTTCATGCTTTTGTTTTGGTATGAGAGAGGATATAGAACAACACATGGGCTGTGGTCTTAACTGATCCCTTATCTGTACGTGCCTGGCCTGTGGGAGCAACTTTGTGAGCAGGCTGGTGTTTCTCCAATTCTCACAGTAGTTCACTTCCAGAATTTTGAAGGATTCTCAACCTCCCAATGACATTTATTGTTTCTTTCCATCTGTTTAACATTTACCTGTTTTTAACTTTGTAATAAGCAGTCACAAACAGCCTGTCTAAATAGAAGCATCCAGGGAACTGTTATTAATGGCTAATAAAGTCATTTACCTCATGGG